TCCCTCTCTCTCTGTCTGGGACAGGTGCATGTGTCCTATAGCAAAAACTCAAAGTTTGCAGTTCAGTGAATTGATTATAAATAATGTTTGTAATATTGTGAAAAGTCATTGTGCAGTGTTAGATTATTCTGGGAATCAAACCTCTGTGTAGATAGGCAGGTAGTCAGGTAATTGGTTGGGTGAACTAAGGAATTAGTGATGAAAGCACGCTTAGTGAGAGTTGAAGTGGAATCTCAATAGTGTTCTCATTGCATCCTTTTGTCCTTATATCAAGTTTACCTAATTTGGGGATAATTTGGTGGCCTTCATTTACTGTAATCATTTGTGAAAAAGGCTTGACCCAGCACAAAATTTGAAGTTTCCTTGAGCAAAATGAACCTCTCCTAGGATGAGAGGCAGGACTAGGATTCACACCTGGGCTCTTCCTGTACTCACTGGCTAGCTCCACGTGTTCAGCAGTTTAATGCTGATTGGAGACAGATGGGAGCACCTCTGTGTGAGCAGCAGGAGTCTCCCTCAGATCGGCCAATGCTTTCTGCCCTGGTCAGTTGATTTATAGCTCTTGTGCTTAGAAACTTGAGTATCACTGCAGCTCCGGGTGGGTTATTGGGTTTTATAAAACTTTGAAAGCCCTGAATGATTGCAAACTCCTCCAGTCTCGTGGAAACAGCTGTGGAGGGCCGGTGGCTGGGTCCCAAAGAGAAGGGGATTTCTACATAGTACCATGGCAGAAAGGGTGGGGCATCCAGAAGGCCGAACTAGAAAAAGGCCCACAGTGGGAAATGGAAACTGAAAGCCAGCCCAAGCCGAGCAGTTTAAGAGCAGGCTTGTTGGGCACAACTCAAGCACAGTACGTTTGATAGGTGGACTGTCCCTCATTGGGCATTTGACAGGGGACTAAGGAATTTATCTGCATTTTGTCTGTCTATATAGTCTCTGAGATGCCCTGTGTCCCCTCTGGTTGCTCTTGTGACCTGCCTCATCACATGTCCTTCTCCATTATTTGTCACCTCATGGCCCCAAAGGCCTTCCTCTCTGCCTTTGGGGCACTCCTTTGAATTTAGTGTCAGAGCTTTGTGTCTGTCCTTGTAATCTAGCTTCAGCTCATGTCACCTCCTCAAAGGTTCTTTCTGTGATCAGGTGATCTCTTTGCCTTGTTTCATTTCCTTCAGGTACTTGATCACTATCTGAAATTAACAGTTGTATTTTTTCTGTTCTAGAATATAAGCATCATGAGGAGAGGGGGGGGCTTTGTCTGGTTCCCCCTCTGCCATTGGTGGTGAAAGGCTAGACCTCTCACCTTCCCTCAACCTGGTCAGAAATTGCTAGCAGCTTTAGAGCATGCGGGCCAGTAGATGGTGTAATGGTTATGTCACTGGACTCCCATGTAGTTGACCACAGTTTGAATCCTGGACCCAGTGGCTTAAATCTCAACGCCAGGAACGTGTGTGTGCGTGCCCAAAAGCCTGAGAAGAGATTGGAGGAGAAGGGATTGCCACATTGTCATCCCTCTTGGGGGGTGATTTCTCTCTTTCTGTCTCTGGCGAGTGCATGCGTCCTATAAAAAAAAAAAAGTCTCTCTCTCTCTCAAAAAAAAAAAAATGCTATGGCTAACATCTAGCTTAATGACACACAGGAGGGAGATTCTTAAGGACAGTAAGGAATTGTCAAGTGTGCAGACACATACCTTACCTTATATGTCCCGATTCTTCTGGCAGGT